CTGTTGCCCTCTTGTGTGTGTTCCTTTCCCCTTGGCTCCCTCGTGGTCTCCTCTCACACCTGCTCCTTGTCAGCTCGTTAGCCCTGCCTTTGTCTCAGTCAGCTACATATACTCTCCCTCTGCTCTCACTTCTTGTTGGTTCCTTGTTGTTGCTGGTACTGTCGTTGCTGTTGTCTTCTCACCTCCTCTCTCCCTGGCTCCTTGTGCGTGTTTTCCCTTGATGTCTCCATGGTTCTGGTCTGTTACATTTTTAGTTGGATTCTTGGATTCCTGCTTTTTTGAACTGCTTTCATCATTAAAACCTCTCTGCATTTGGGTCCTCTAAACCAAAACCAAGACGTGACAGAGTTAGGAGAGATTTTTCATAGTTTTGTGCGAAAAATAAAAAGGTCAGTCACAAGGTCAGTTAGACATATTAGGTGTTAAAAACACAAACATACCTCCTCCTTTAATCAAGGATCCCATTAAAGAATAAGCGGCAATTATTCACAGAGAATTAAATATTTGTTGGGATAGGGTTCTTAGACCGTGTATAGATGTTCTTTAATATTGAAAATGTTATCTTTATGAGAAATACAATTTCACCTCACAATCCATCACATGCTGTACATCCACGACTTAATGTGTCCTCACATTTGCAGCATTACACACTTTTTTCATATATGTTTAATAGAACTTGATATTTTCCCTCCACTTATATTCCTTGTCGAGAACATTGATTCGGGATAACAACTTTATAGAAAATAACGGCACAGTCAAACAGCCACTAAGTCTTTACAGGGTGATTTAAGACAGAATTAAAAATGAGGACGAAACCCCATGAGACCATGCATACGGTAGGTCCTACCTGTTTGAATATAAAATTAAAATCTCAGACTAGATCAATTAAGGATATGACACTGAATTTGTTAAAACCACTTTGTTAAATAGACCTCAGACACACCAAAGAAGATAATTTAATAAAAATAATAATAGTAATCACTAGGAAGTACGTTAGACACTTTAAAGTGTAGAATCTGGTATAAAGCACTTAGCAGTATCTACCTCATTTAATGCAAAGCAACTTAGTAGCAAAGCACTTTATCATTATCTACCTCAATATCAAAAGCACATTAAAATATTGTCATCTGTCGGTATTGCGTTGTATTTCTTCTGAAACTGTGTATTGTTTTTATGATTTTTTTGTGTTTTTTTTGTCCTTGTTACATATATGTTTCATCTGTGGTCTGTATTTCTTGCATGTACCTTAATGTTTCTTTTGTACCTGCTGCCCTTGTCCTACGGGTCTATGGATGGAAACTAGCCTTGAGCTTAATCCAAGTGTATTTACAGCTCCTGCTGTTCATTAATACACGTTGTCCCTTTTAAATGAATAAATAAATAGAGTAAAAAAAATAACCTCAAGGTTGCAATCCAAGCAACCTCAGCTTTCACTACAATTCTGCAGAACCACAGGTTGATCACCTCCACTGGTGCAGTAATTCCTGCACAATAAGCTTCAACCAAGTCTTAAGTGTTTATAAATGTCAGGCTATTTTCAGTTGCCTGACATTTATTCTTAAAATATCCTTTTTATTGATCCTATTTAATATTGTAATCTTCCAGAGAATTGCATTTTGGTTTTACATTAAAATTTAAATGTAAAATAAATACAGGTTTGAAATATTTCTACTCTATTTGCAATGAATCCACATAAGTGTCAATTTTTTAAAAGGAATGACAGAAGATGCTTTTTTTTGCATCTTCATTTTCTTTTTACACACTCTCACTCTCACTTGTTTGTTTTTGTTCAATAGGGAATAGTCTCTACCTGTTTTATATTTTGTTATCAGGTGAAATGTGGCAGCCAGTGTTTGATCCACCTTAGCACTTTTCTCAGATGACACCCAGTCTGTCGAAAAGCATTAAAACACCCTCTGTCCTTTTTCACCCTGACCCTGCTAAGTGAATGGGTTACTGTCTGCTAGTTTACAGTGGCAGCTGGTAACAGAGCATTATACAAGAGGGAAAAAAATTGAATTATTCTCAACAGCCTTGCATGAGATTGGGTAACCAAACTCAGTTTTGCATATATTATGTCACAAATGATGATAGAGAAAGACAATAAGCAGGTCCCTTTCCAATGTCATTGAAATAAATCCCTGGAGGACCTGAGAAAACACATTGGGTTTTGTCGGTTCCGGGTTGTTATAACGGTCTTTCAAAATACCTGTTACCCAATTTTTTCTGTATGATTTTGTACACTGTAAAAATGTTATCTTTTTTACATTTTGTTTTTAGGACAAAAAACTTTAGTGTAATTTTTTTGCCTTTCCATGTCTTTGGAAACAAATGTATCACATGATTACAGAAATGAAATTATACATTGTTTTAATTTTTTTTTATAGCATTCTTCTTGAGTATAAAGCCATAATTGATGCTCTATATCTATCCTTCACTGAAATTACATCTGAGTGGCTATTACACTATGTATTTAGCAGCTTTTCACAAATGTAGACTTATTGTTTTGACATTTTTTCTTTGCTAAATTCTTTCAAGCTCAGTTTTGTCTTTGGATAAAAAAATTATCAAGTCTTTCCGCAGATTTACAGTTGGATTTTGGTGGACTTTGACTGGGCCATTCTAACACACAAATGTGATTTTATCTCACCCATTTTAAGATGCAATTAATATAAAGCACATTTTCATAGAAAACTTTCCTGCGTTTTAGCTCCATCAATCTCTTATTCCCACTCTAAACAGCATGTGCTGCTGTGATGGAAGAAGAGCTTCCCTACAGTCTGAAACGGCAAACCGCATATGCCACAACTGCAGGTGTAAGCAACCTTTGCAAATTAAACAGGCAGTTTTGACTTCAGTACAGCTAAACATATGTTTAGAGCCTCAAAAGCAACAAGACTCTTCTAAACAAGCTAAGCATGTATTTTTATTGACACCTATTAAACTTGCTCAGAACAAAAAAGCAAATGGTGGTGAACTTCCTAACAAAAAAATATTACCTCATAAAAAGGATTATTACTTTTCCTCAATGTGCAATACTTTGCAGAAATGCTATGCAAATGCAAACGCTAGCATTCTAAACTGTACATTTTTTAAATATTGCTCATTTCTCTAGCGTCTTTGACCAAAGCTATAAAAAGCCGCAGTGGAGGGGCTAAAGAGGCATATGCAAGCTCTGGAAATGCAGGTTGAAGGCCCCTGTACTATGATTGTGGTGTTCATGATGATAAGCTGTTAATTTTCTTTCATACAGAGCACTTTACAAGAATCCAACAAATTTTACAGGTCATCTGATGATAGAAGCTATTTCCATTTTTTTCATGTCTGCTTGTGTCTAACTCACGGAAAAGCTTTTTCTTTCTACTCAGGTGGGAGAAGCTGTGCTGCTGACAGATTCTCCCACCTGAACTGTTGATTTCTGCAGCTGCTACAAAGTTGGATGCCTTTCTGTTTAATGCTGTCCTTACCCAGCCTATCTCTTTTGTTGCACAGCCATACCATTGTAGGTATGTTGTTTTGCCATAATCTTTCAATTTTCACTTCTAGTAGGTATTAAAAGCCTGAGATTTAGTTTTTTATGGCTTTCTTACCAATCCAAACATTAAAACCATATAAAATCTTCTCTCTGACCCATCTGCTTTGTCCCTTGGTCTTGATGGTCAGGATGTTTACAAACCTCTAGGGCCTTCTTATATCAGCAAGTCTATTAAATAGATTAATGGATTTTTTTTAACCGTAGTTACTCTTTATTTTGGCCATTGCAGAACCGAGGGACTGTCAGAAATATGCAGCACTATTATCAGATTTTTTTTTCTGTTTTAGAAAATGAGGAATAATTTTCCATTTAAATACAGAAACATTTTTTTAAGGATTCACATGAGCCCTTTAAAGCCCTAAGCGATAGAGACATTGGCTTTTAGACTTGCTAACTTTAAAACCATTAGGTTTGCTCCACTGTAGCTGTTTTCCTCCTTTTATTTTCCCTCCACTTACGTCCCTTAAAGCTCAATTCTCACAAAGCTTTTTTAAAAGAAGTATGCTCTTTAACTTTTAATTTCTTTTTTTATTATTATTTCCTGTTCACGTTCCACAGTGTGTATCCAGCATCACAATGTAGTTAGACCCTGATTTACAAAGAACCTCAGATCTTTCTTTTCATGTCACTGTTTGCTGCAGCTCCTTCATCCACCATTTAGTCCCTGTAATAAAGGAGTGGGCCTATTGGAGGCACTTTTATTGTGTGGACTACAAGACCTGCCAGTCGATGGTGTTTTTGTCTTCTAGGATGAATCACATGAAGGACAAGTGTGAGAGAAGGAGACACCAGAACCTGTTAAATTTACCCTGAATGAAGAATGCACTGCCGGCACTTTCTACATGCAGCAATGCCCACACCTGGAATTATTTGCCATGGTTAATTTACTCCATGTGTGTTTGTGCTCAGAGTGGCAATTTCAGCCAAGTAATCTCAGCACCCCCAAGAGGAAGACAGGTGCTGCACACTCAGAAGAACAAAGATTCACCTTTTCATCTCACCTCTCTTATGTCTTTACAGCTTCCTCTTCCACTGCTCTCAGACAAGTACAGATAAAGGACACTCACTTTATTCCCATGTGTTAGAAATGCATCCATGCTGCAGGCGTAGAAGGGAAGCATCAAAGATTAGAGGGATTGCTGTTTAGTGTTTTCCTTTGCATTGCTCAGGGAATTTACAGCCTGTGGAGGAGAGCTCTGGACTGATCTGACAGTGACTCATGGCTGCTTCCCAAATTTAGGAAAGACACGTCACAGAGTCCCGATGGAGGCGAGTTTTGGCTGAGACAAATTCCTCTTATTGTAGCTGTGCACACTGGTTTGCTGTGTGCTCCTTCCTGCATATCCTTCTATGGACTGAGCCTGACATATCCATAAGAATGATGGAATGGCTCTGCCGTTTCCATCACTAGTGTGGAAAAAGGAATAAAGAAGTTTGATGATACGTGCCTGAATGTGTGTTTTAGAGCCAACCATCATCACTACACAGCCCACAACGCTGGACATCACTGTTGGGGAGAGTGTGGTTCTGCCATGTCAGGTGAGCCACGACCCGTCTCTGGAGCTTAAGTTCACCTGGTTCTTCAACGAGCAGCTCATCCACTTTGGGAACAATGGCGGATTCTTCGAAAAAGTTGGAGGCGTAAGTCCACAATCTGTCTTTGAATGTTTCTGACAACTTTCTAGTAAAAATGTGGTACTTCTTATCACAGGAAACTAGTGACCTAATTGTTAGCATTCTGTAAGGATCACTGTTGATTCTAGTAAATAGTATATGAGGCTTCAATGCAGTGTTACATTCATACATAGATGCTCATCATCCTAAAAAACACACAGTGTAATGAAAAAGCTAAAAAGTTGTTTAACCCACTTAAAATTTTTAGGTCCTTGACTCTTAACTCTGACTGTCAGGATTCTGCAAAGATGAAAACTCTGTCAAGGATTCTGCAAAGATGAAAACTGTTTTTATTAAAGCTAATGCATATGGAGAACAGAGATCACCGTGCATCAGCCTGCTCTGGCCAACAGAGTTATCAGTCTCTTTTATGGGTCCTTGACAGCTGACCTTGTGACAGCAAGTTGTTATTCAAATGAGTCCTATGACTATCTGCGTCCAGAAAACTTATCAATGAAGACAGGAACACCAATCAGTCATTGAGGTGAAAGGGTCAGAGAACTGACGACATTTTGTGGCAGTAGGATTTTGCACAGAACACAAAGCACAGAGTAATTTTTTTTTTTTTCATTTAAGTGGCAGCAGGGAAATGGCTAATATATGCAGGACATGGATTTCGTTTAATCAAAGACAGTGGAATGCTATGTAGAACACCCTTATGAATAATTAGCTGTGATTAGACACTTCATTTTGGTTTGGTTTTACACCAACACTCAAGTAAAGGTAAAGGTTAGTTTACATAGTAGAAAAGAGAAATATTGTATCCGTGAGACAATCCACGGTCCAATAGGACAATCTCATATTTAACCTGGCATAAGCCAGATTAGTGCCTCTCATGTTAAGCTTGGTGTATCACATTCTTGTTTTGTTTCACAACTAGTAGAGTGAACTGATAAATTAAAATCTTAACAAATCTAGTTGGGACGAACTTGCAAAGGTCTTCCCATCCAGAAAGACAAAAGTCCCATCCTTTTACTCTTAAAAAAAAAAAAAAAACTGACCCATCAATGGGATATATGCACAACTCTACTACTTCCTGAACTTAAAGGTATAGTGGAGGATTTTTGCGAATTTATGAAAAGACCCACCCTCTCCACTTTAAAAAAACAATGCACATGCAGAACCCTGTTCCTGCTCCAGAGATGGAATGCCTATTAAACATGCCCATTTCTCCTCGTGCACGCTAATTTTTAAAAGTCGCGTTTGCATCGCTCATACAAGCTTACTTTTTCGAAAAAAGATTTGCAATTTTCCCACTGTGTCAGACTCACCACCGGTAAGTGAAAATGGGGCCTTACGTGAACATCACTCGAATGATTGACAATTAGGAGGACCACTTATTCTGATGATGCACCTAGAAAAAGAACATCCTCCACTATACCTTTAAAAAAAGCTCCCTGATCTCCTGTCTTTCATTATTGGTAAAACTGATCAAATCAGGTGGGCCTGACCTCAGTAACCATGATGGCAATATCCAGACACAAAAATCCCATGACAATTAATCTTGTTTGCAAGGCAGTCTCATATTACCTACAACAAAAAAAAAAAAAACATCTTGTTTATTTGTGAGACGTTTCAGAAATCTTTCCAAAAAAAAAAAAAATCAAATGGTTGGATGGTGTGAGTCTCAATAAATCTTGATTAAAACTTAGAGGATTTCTCACTGCCACAAATGGTGGTGGTAGTTTGATGGTTTAGAGCTGCTTGTTCACCCTTTATTTGTTAAAAGCTAAAGTTAGCACTGTAGCACAGCTATTCAGTTCTGAGTTTAGAAACTCTTATCACCAGTTGTATTTTTAGCAGTAGTGTGTGCTGTTTAATATTAGCTCTCTAGCCACCAATAGGAAGGTGTTGCTCTCTGTGTTTCATTCATACTGACCGTCAAAACATCCAGCTCAATAGATGTTCCTTCATATTTAGCCACATCAACTAGCCTTTAGAATACTATTTCCATTTCTCTACATGATCGTAAGTTATTTTAAAGCAGAATTTATATTTAGCAACAGAAATGCCTGCAGGAATGCTAGTTAAAATAATGCCAGGCATGCCCCACTCTTTGTTAGATAAGGTGCTGATGAAAACACAAAGCTTCCTGAGGTATCTGGAAAAATCCTCATTTTATTGGTTCCCCTGTGCCCTGACAGGAACACAGGACATAAAAGATATTGATTTATTTTCTTTCAGCTGCCTTCAGAGATTTCAATGAACAAAGGTTGAAAGGTGACTCTGAAGATTCATAGGTCCATTCTCGGCTTCTTTTAGGAGGGCAGTAATAAATTCAGCTGCATTGCAGAGGGAATGTTTGTATCAACTTTATTATTTATGGATATAAAATTGCTGCCTCCGGTTAATTCTAAAATGAAATTTACATACTCAACCTGCAACCTTATGCAGGCTACCAGTGGATCCTTTAAAAAGAACTACATCTCACAGCTCACCAAAATATGCACTGTCTTGCTTTTTTCTTTTTTTGTGTGTGTAGCAAATAATATAAAGGTTTATTTAAAAGCTATATGCATAAAAAATGAAGAAAAAATATATATAGTAGTGCATTCTAGTTTCTCTAATAATTTAGGTGTTTCTTGAAGTGTGATTTAACATTTCAGCCCCTTAATAAATGGCTCTTCATCTCCACTTAAATTGATTAAGCCCTGGGCCACTCCTCTGAATTCCCACCATCACTTTGCCACAGCTTTCAGCCATCTTCAATTTATTACTCAACCTGCTCAGCTCCACTCTGATGAAATGATAATGTAGGAGTGGGAATAGTAATTAGAGATGAAATGAAGGGCTCTCTTAAAGGACTAAGTATCAGACTAGCCATTAGGCTGCTCATATAACATTGTGCAGTCCCAATAAGACTGTTAGAGGAAGTACATTTCTGTAATTACACAGATGAAGTCAATGCACTGAGCGGTTTTGCCGTGTCCCACTCGGATAGAAGAGGGAGAAGCTGCATGCGGATTTATGGATTTAGTTTTCAGGACACACATATGTATGAAAATGAGCTTTCTTCTAGGCTGGATGTGCTCCCACAAGGCTAGCAATGTCAGGATTGTTTTTGAATTCCAATAGCTGCAGGGTTACAGCCATACTTATAGAGGTCTCTCTGTGCACTGAATGGCAGCAGCACTCAGCGGGAGACATTATGATTCGGAACATCCAGCTGGGCCACGCAGGGAAGTACACATGCGCTGTGCAGACCAAGGTGGACAGCATCTCCATAGCTGTGGACCTAGTAGTTCGAGGTAAGCTGTGGTAGTATGTATACTTCTTTTAACTACCTTCACACCTTGTAAAATAGAATAATAAGGCATGGTTCATTCACTGACAAATGACTAAAGTAGCTGGCTGCAAAGTTGGGCAAGTTGAATGTTATCTGTTCAAGGTTTAAAGAAAATGTACTGTCTAATTAGACCAGTCGGCTCCCAAAGGGTTCACGCCTTTGCTGCCATTGCTGCAGGTGCTAAAACCACTGTGACTCTTCTTCCCATCTTTCTGTCTCCTCCCGATTTACATTCGCTCCCCCTCCTAACTACATCTCATCTTCTCTGTCTGTTTTTCTCCCCTCTTTTTCCTGCCTGACTATGGTATATACCAGGTCCCCCAGGGCCACCCACCAGCATTCAAGTAGAAGAAATCACTGATACCACCGCGTCTCTGTCCTGGAGGCCTGGTCCTGATAATCACAGTCCAATTACGGCATACACCATTCAGGCCAGGACACCATTTTCCCTGGGGTGGCAGGCTGTCACCACAGGTAAGCTCTCTCCAACCAGCCGTGGCCTCCTCCAGTCACAAGTAAAGGTTCGCTCTTCATTTCTTCCTCGCCTGTGAAAATATTGGAGGGGTAATTTTTTTTTTTTCCTCTTGCACCAAATGGCAAACAATAGTGCCGGGATCATTGACCGCTGTATTATCGGACCCCTGGGAGCCCTGTAACATGGATCTCTTCCTGATGAAAAATTGTGTTACCATGGCTGTAATATAATAGTGTAGTTATACAGCATATCCTTTTTAATAGGATCCTTACCATTCATGCATTATCTGTATAATGCACTTTCATCCCGCACCTTATACCCTCTTTTATTGATATTTTTTGCAGATGATGGAGCATCAGAGAAATCTATTTCTGGACTCCTAGTGTTACGGTCTTTCCATCATTTTTTATTTTTTTTTTTAAGAACACATTGACATTGTAGGTGCAGAAGGATGTTGTAACATTTAATGGACTCACCTCTACTTGCTCACAGTGTTTTGTTTCTAGCAAGGATTCTAAGATTGTAAATCTCACACAGAGTTTATGAAAAGTTCAATTTGATTAATACTATTCATGGCGATGATTTATGTTTACATTTTTTATTCAGCTAGAAATTCTATGAATATAGCACCCCTTCACCTTTTTTTTTTACTTTGTTGAGCCTTTGTATTTAGCCCCCTTTAGTATAAAGCCTTTAAATAAAATCCAGTTGCACTGAGTGCACTGAGGAGGTACCTAGTTTCTATGTGTGTAATTTAGTCTCAGTAAAAATGTGGGTCTTCAATGAAGGCATTTATTAGAGAGTACAGAAACCACGTAAAGCAACAAACACAGGTAGAAAACTAAGGAACACAGCATTCATGACTAAAAAAAGCCAAAAAGCCGTTGGTAACGCTTGTTAAGCTGCAGAGATCTGAAACACTCATTAGGTAGAATATATTAGTATTGTTGACTCAAAAGATTGACACCAAGAAAATTCAGCAAGAAATTCTTTTTTATTTGCATTCTGCCAAGAGCCTTGTTGAGTCACATGAAGCAAACATATGTGCTTTGGTTAGATGAATTGGAAAATTGAACATTCTAGCCTGCATGCATGCTGCTTTATGTGATAGAGAACTATAACTGCTCATTATAGTGGACATACTGTTCGAAAGCCGCTATAAAGAATGATAGTTGCCCCATCATGCTGAAGGGAGTCCATTTTTTAGCATTCAATGGCTTAAAAGATGTTAATGGGAAAGATGGAAGAGCAATACTACACAAAAACTATTCCTAGAGGTTGTGAAGACGCAAGTTAGGTTTAGAGTCCATCTTTGAAGAAAACAATGTCCTTTGACATTAGCTATATGAAACTGGTTTAGTTCTTTTCATAAGGCCCAGTTAAAGTCAGATGTAAATCAAATTAAGAGTTTATTGCAGTACATGGCAGTAAATCTATACAGATGTTCCCTGTTTTATCTGACCGAGCTGGAGCTATTACCAAAGAGGAGTGGGCAAAAAAATTAATGCTATAGAGACATACCCAAAAACACCTGTAACTGTAAGTGCACTATAATCGGGTTCTATAAAGTATAATGTGTATGAAATGTGAATCAAACATTTATCTTTGACTCACATTATCTCTTGTCATCTTTCTTCCTCTAAAAAATTGCGTTTTACTTTGTACTGTTTAGTTCAAAATAATCATAAAAACATCTAGGTTTGTGATTGTGATGTTCAAGTGGAGTGTATATTTTGGAAGGCTTGTATAGCTGTGCAGCCTTGGTGAATAATCTTTACACACACATTGAGGCATGCTGAGTTTGTTCTAACTGGAGGCATTCTGTGTTTTCTGCCAGTTCCTGAGGTTGTAGGGGGCCACCAGCTGACAGCTACAGTAATAGCGCTGAGCCCTTGGGTGGAGTACGAGTTCCGGGTCCTGGCAAGCAACAGAGTCGGGACGGGTGAGCCCAGCAAGCCGTCCAAACAAGCTAGGACGAAGAGCACCAGTACGTACTATGTTGTACCTAGAAATGAGAAAGCCTGCAATTATGCCTTCTGCCAGTCCTTATGAAGCTTCATACAAAAAGCAAATCTGTCAGAGCACTATTCTTCATCACTCCATATTTTCTTAAATTTCCAACAAACAACACATTTTTAGGTAAACACAGTTGAGGATTTTCATTTGTTTTTCATACCTATATATTTTGCTAACAGTCAAACTCTATGGACTTAGATGTGCTAGAACAGGGGTAACCAATTAATAATCAGTGGGGTCCGAATAAAGAAAATCAAAAACCAGTAAGGGTCCGGATTTAACACTGAAATAAAATGCAGGTGTTTATGCATCCATCCATCCAATTTCTGACACTCTTAATCCCAAGTGCGGTCACGAGGGTGCAGCTGTCTATCTCCAGCTGTCTATGGGCGAGAGGCGGGGTACACCCTGGACAGGTCGCCAGTCCATCACAGGACAACACAGAGACAAACTTTATGCCTCCATGTTATACGTTACATTTTTTAATAAAAAATATAATGTTTTTCCATTTTAAAATCTAGTTTTTTTTTTAAGTAGAGCACAACAATCTTTCAGTCTGGTATATAGACAATTTACCATACAAACAGGAGTAGCGCCTCAAGGGACTTTTAGACAATGTCGTTGGACAACATGCAGTAATTTATAAATGTTTTAAATCAGGTTGGGTCCGGATTAACCAGCAAGTGGGTCTGGATCCGGACCCTGGTCCGCTAATCCGTCACTTCTGTGCTAGAATGAGTCCTTCCCTGATAATCAAAGACCAAGCTTGGTTATTTTTGTACTTTCCAATCAGAACTGAACCCTATAATTTCTTTGGTGTTTTGTTTCCTTCATCAATTTTAGCGAAGAATCGAGGCATTGGCATGTTTACAGAACCATTTTGGATCCTTATCTGCCTTTAATGTACAGCATCAAAAACAAAATGCTCAAGAGAAGGAGCAATTTCAGATGCAAATGGTGTATTGTGTAGTTAAAATAATTGTTCTTCTGTTTGTAGTTTCCTGCTACAGTTGGCTAGTACCATCAGTAATACAGAACTAAGCAGATGTTGCTATATACAAAGCGTGTGAACAGCACATCTGTGTATTCAAAAGTATTCAAGATGTCATTCGTTTGTGCATCCAGTGCAAATGCACCACAAAAAGCAGACGTAGGGGGCAACTTATTTATTTATTACATATTAAATATGTCGGGACTTTTCAATATGAGTAAAGACTTGTGTGGATTCTGGGATAAAAGCTTGATCTGAAAGGGGCCAATGTTTTATTATGTTTCATGTTCCAGTGCAAAGAAATTCTATCCACCAATATGCTTATCCTTATTTTAGCTTTTTCCTTTTTTTTTATTTTCCACTTGTTATTATAACAACAATGATGTCAAAACTAAAGCAAGGTCCTGGATATTAAAATGTTATTTAGAAGCAATAGTAGATAAACATTTGTGACCAATTCAAACAACTATTTTGGTAAAAATTATATTTAGATTTTATTTTCTAGTTGATGGAGCACAGTAATAGAAAACCAACAGACCAACCAGTCATGACATGCCACTGAAAGGTTGTATTCAAAATAATAGCAGTGTGAAATTCAATCACTAAGGTCATTCGTTCTGCAGAACAAAGTGGCGTCAAACAGGCAGCATATGTTCTTCATGCTGGTCAAAGTGGATTCCTGAAACTCTGAAAAGTTGGGATGTTTCAGAAACTTCACTTTGAATGGGTGTAAAATGTATTAAAAGTAAACTGATTGGCTGCTCAGCTGAACAGATCGAAGAACCATTCAAATAAAAATAAAAAAATAGAAAGACATTAAAGAAAAGGAGCCATTTATTTTGACTGAAAATATTAAATCAAAATATTTTGATTAAAAAATATTCAGAAAAAAAGATTTCATCAAAATATGAGATGTTGAATGTTCCTATTTTATCAAAATGATAACGACTTTGTTAACGATCGGCTTCTTTCAAAGAAAACTTACAGATATTTTTGGGTACGGTGACAACTGCATTGTTTTCCAAATACTGCACTGGTCCAAAGAGAAATGGAGAGACGCTTTATCAGCTGATCGAAATAATTGATTTTAAGTGTGGGAGCCACAGATAGTTTGAGAAATGACCTCCAAACAACGAGTTCAAACTACAATCCACTGTGAAGCACAGTGGTTGATGCATAATGCTATGGGGATCCTTAATTATCACATATAAGGCATTATAAATCCATTTGAACACATTATTATACTCAAAGAGATGCTGCTGCCATATGGGGACAAGAAATTAATCCAGAAAAGGGTGTTTCCGCAAGAGAGCATAGCAGCATATTGGTTTCAGACCCACAAGTTTAAAATTCACACAGATTCTGGTCTAAGCTAAGCTGCTGCTCATTTACTGTCTGAAATCTGTACAAAACGAAATTTAGTTATGTATACACTCTGTGTATACAAAGTGACAATAAAATTAGTCTAGGTCTAAGTCTAATCCCAGACTTTCAGCCAAAGGAAAACTTTAGGGAGGACAGCATACCGTACATATTTGTATGCAGTTCAGAGATTCTAATTGTTCCTGTGAACAATCACCAGACGTTGGTGGACTCCATGCTATTTTACATGGGTGTGAATAAGTTCTCAAAAAACATATATTAATAGATTTGTTATAGGAAAGCTAAAATGTTGGTATTTTTTAGTTCATGCCATTAATTTTGAATCTATAGCTGCTTTTTTTTAAAACCACTTTACCCTATGATTTAATATCTTTTTAACCCACAGTATAATTTCAAGTCTAGCTGTCATTTCTAAGATAATATTTAGTTGTAAACCTTATGTAACAAACATTAGAGTTCCATCCAACAAAAAAGTTGGAAATCTAAACGTAGATTGAACTTGTAAAAGAAATACAAGTGTTTTTCAGCTTTATTTGAACTCTATGAATACAACCTTTAAGGGATTAAGCTGATTATTGCCTGTTATCCTACAGCAAACGGAAAACTCCTTTCAAACCGAAAACATTTCCTAAAATTCCTTTTCTTTTCACCATCTTGTTTCTTCCATCCTTGTTGGATTACTGTGTGATGTTGCCTCTCTTTGCCAGACAGAGAGAATTGGTAAGTTTTCCTTTCGGAGTTTCAAGGTGGCTGAGCTGATCTGTTTTACTACCCACAGCTCCGAAGGTCACACCGGCTAATGTGAGTGGAGGAGGAGGCAGTCGCTCCGAATTAGTCATCACATGGGAGGTAAGCAAGCTCGCTCAGGAAGCCTTTCACCCATGTAGGAGGCCGCCAAACGTCATTACTCTCTTTGAGTATGGGCCTGTTTCATTAATAACCAGGGAACAGCCTAATGTATGGCATATCATTTTTAAAAACACAGAGGCAATAGCTGCAGCTGTCACCCTGGGGAGGGGGAGAGGAATGGTTTTGAGGTTTCAATAAGATAATTAAAGTCATAGTTTGTTCAAAGTCACAGCTTTTGTCTCCAGCTGATTTTCGTTTGGTTTCTGCCTCTCTGTTTTAACAGAACCTCTTCATATCAGCCGACCTTCAAATAGCTCCTGTTTATTCAGGCTAACTGAGATTCGCCTGCTGTGGAGGGTTTCATAGAATCAGTTCTGATGTTTCCAAACACAAAAGCTCAATTATAGGGAAACATTTGCTCAGCAAAGCTTCAGTTTGTCCTTAGCTGGTGAAATTCTTCAAGTGCTTTTCTTTTTAACACAGAAGCACAGATTAAATGTCCTTACTGATATAAATGGAACTCAATACAATACAATTGTTGCTAAACGTACAAACTGTTCAATGTGTAAATATTTATTTAGGACCTTTTCTGATATAGTTACTTAGCTTAGTACCGGAAGGACTATGCATATTGCGTTAAGCAATGCACGAGTGAGTGAGGGAGTGCGTGCGCAGAGATAAAGGGGCTATTCTTTTGGAAATGAAAAATCAAAACCTAAAGGTTTAGTAGAAGCTAACACCTGCAGCCCACATGAGAAACTGGAGAATCTGTAATGAGATTAAAATTTGATCTTTGTCCCCAAGAACCCAGAGATGTTTGGAGATTTGGTTCATTTTTGTAGAACTGAGTTTGTGAGAAAAAGTCTCATATGTGAGAAAATGAGGAACATGAAGAACTTGTTTAAATCTAAGTCAGTAGAGGTATGTAAGTATAATAGTTTTGTCTACAGATCTCTTTGCAGATCAGACCTTGACAGAAAAAGAAAACAGGAGCAAAAATATATTTTTTGCTTTTCCAACTTAAACTTGCACGCTGTGTCTGATTTCTTCCTTTGAATTGTTTTGCCAGACCTCCTCTGAAAGGTTATTTGATTTTCTATTCGTCCATGGATCTTCCTGCTGTTAGTTTGTTTTTGCTCAGCAGGAAAAATGCAGCTCAGGCTGAGTGAGACCTGGAGATAAAGAAAAGCCTTGTAGATTATTCCTCTTATTTAAATTCTGAAATAAATCCTCTCTTGCTCTGTGCTCAGTTGTTTTCCATGTATATCCTACAGTATAACATACTAACTTCCCTACCTATTACTCAACCTAAACAAAATATCCTTCCAGTGTTCCGATTCCTCATATTTCCACAGGTGTTTTAAAATCAGTGTCTAAACACAGAGACGCTTTAAGGAATTGTTTTACAAAAATTTGAACTGGACCCCCCAGTATGTACAGTGATTGTTGTAAACTTAGCTGGTGCCTAGAATGGCCAATTTAGATTCATGACCTAAATCCTGTTTTCTTTCAATCAGTTAGAGTTGATTGATTATATGGACTGATTTCTAAATACCAAGCCCCTACACATTCATAATTTCACATTAAAGTCTCAGTAGGACGCTATTTACATATCGTATCTGCTTGGTTAATTAAGAGTCATCCAAATGTATAAATAGACGACCTGTTAAAGTACAGCTCTCATGATGCCCTCTGATCAACAACAACAACACCTAAGGACACAATAACTGAGACCGATGCGGTGGGGGACTAAATCAGCAAATCACTGTTAGTGAATTAACCCCTGCTGACTTAGCCACAGTCCTGAATATGTAAAACACACGTATGTCTAATATTGTTTTTCTTGTGGGATTTTTTCGGAAGACATAAGAGTTTGAATAAAGATTGTGCAATGCTCTTAGGGATGAATATCCATTTTTACACACCATTTTACCTATGGTCTTCATACACCTACACAGGAGGAAATGTATAAATAAAAAAATAAAAAAATGAATAAATAAAAATAAATAAATAAATAAATAAAAAAAAAAAAAAAAAAAAAAAAAAAAAAAAAAAAAAAAAAAAAAAAAAAAAAAAAAAAAAAAAAAAAAAAAAAAAAAAAAAAAAAATATATATATATATATATATATATATATATATATATATATATATATATATATATATAAATTTTTTCAATGTATGTGTGTGTGTGTGTGGAAATAGAGCATGTGCCTTTCTGAAGTCAGGAGGAAAGAGGGTTGGTTTATCTAGCAGAGCCAAGTCTGGGCCTTGTTATCAGCGTGGAGCTGAGTTTACCTTATCGTGTTGAGGGCTCTGTGCTGTGTAATGAATGTGTGCAGTAAAAGCACTAGTGTGTCCAGCAGGGGGTTATATCTGAAGCCTTGTGCTGCCTTCAAATTCGAAAGCCTCTATTCTCATCCAGTATTTCTTACCAAACCATGCTGCATGGACAAAGCAGGCTTGTCCGCAATGTTGATGGTATATATTTATATGTTTTTGTTTATTTGCTTTTAGCCCGTTCCAGAGGAGCTGCAGAATGGACCAGGGTTCGGCTATGTGGTGGCTTTCCGACCTCGAGGCGCCACGGGCTGGATGCAGGCAGCCGTGCCGTCCCCAGAGGCATCCAGATATGTTTTTAAAAACGAGAGCATCCAACCTTTCTCGCCTTTCCACGTGAGGGTCGGGGTTTACAACAACGAGGGCGAGGGGCCATTTGGCTCGGTTACCACTATCTACTCAGCCGAGGAAGGTGTGTAAAGGGACCCTTTTACTGAAGCCAAAGAAAACACAGGCAAATGCAGATTCAAAGGAAAACTCCTAAACTTATCTAATAAACATTGCTGTTTATGTTTCGTCTTCATATATTTAAAATAGTTGTGACTGTTTTCCTTCCCCTTAAAGGACCTGAGGAATTGGTCCAGTAAATTTTAAAATGTTTAACACTTCAACAAATGTTGCTAATCGAATCATTTGATTAATGAATATTCACTAAGTTCATGACTGATTGTGACTTAGAGCATGAATGATGAATACATGCAGGATTCATTTTTAATTCCTCATGCTTGCACTAAACCTGTGATTGATTGGATTTCCTTACTCTTAACAGATCATCAATCAGTAAATGCATAATAACTATTTTATTAAAAACAACAATAATTAAGTTCACATTTATCTATTCACTCTCCCAATAAAATAAGATTAAATACATTCTTTATTATTATTATTATTTTATCAGTGACACAAAAGAACATGGGAAACCTATTGAAAAATAAAGTCATACAGATGTGGCTAAAAAAAACGAGATTTAGAAAAAAAAGTAGAAAGAATTAAAAAAGTCAAATTAAAATTTCAAAAATCAAACAATAGCAGTTGAAGTGATGAACAATGAGTCATCTTTACATAGACAGAGAGGAGATTCATTCCAATTTTGAAATTAATTTGTCTAGTCTACTACCTTTAAGGGGTCTTATAGAAAAAGTCAATATTTTTTGTATATCATGCATTTCTTGTGCTATACCTATACAATCTTTAACAGCTGGGCTAATTTCACTCAGTTAACATTTACATTTTGCTTATAATCAGCATTTGTCTTTAAGTACAATAGTAGTACAAAATAAATCCCACTAAAATCAAATAATAAATGAAGATCATGATTAAGTCCGTTTTAGTTGTGATCAGTTTGAGTTCTTTCTTATTGTTCCCATTGTATTACATTACAGTTACAAATTTCAGTTAAATTATTTTACTCTGATTTTAAGTGAAAGAGCAACAAAAACCAGCATAGAAATGCAGACAGCCGTTTTATTGAGTGTATCCTATAAACTATTATTGGTATAAATCAAGCTGTTCTGTGAAGGCTGCATTATTTTGAAAACAACAGCTTCTTAAAAAACAAAACATCAGACAAGTCAAGTGAAATTTGTAGAAATGTAAAGCAGGGTTTAGTTGTAATAAAAAAAACTTAGTTTAACTTAGTCCTAAAATCCTGTTCAGTTAAATATAAAAACACAGCAGCAAACCAGTAGTCTCATAATCAAAACTAGTTTGAAACATTAGGTCAAGCATGAAGAATCTTAAACAATTTTACATACAATTTACGAGTCTAACCTCTGTAAAGGAGTGTGATGCAAAAAAAATATTAGAAAATAAAGAAAAAAAATGGAAGGCATGTAGCAGACAGAGCAAACTTTCTGAAGGATAGATGAAACCAAAGCTGACCCACAAGCAAAACTCTGCATGGGATGGATGGAACAAACAACATTGGACTTTTCTTTACAGATCTAAGAAAAAACATTAGTGAATAACACAAAGTCAAAAAAACACTAGTAGAAACCAACCGATGGTGAAGCCATATCTAATTCCTTCAGTGAGTCGTAGTGGTGGGAGCCTCATGCTGTGCAGATGCCTTTCTTCTGCATGCAGGGACAGGGATGCTGGGCAGAGCGCTTGGAAAGACAGAGTTAACTGAAAGAAAGAAAATAAAAATTATCCCTTTATAGTCCCTCAGAGGGTAAGTTTTGTCCTTTGCATTTGACCTATCCCTTTGTGTGCTGCCACGCTGAGTAGTATCCTGGGAGGATCGGGGGTTAAGGGTCTTTCTCAGGGGTCCTGAGTAATAGGCTGATTTTTGAACCAAAGATCCCCTGGCTTCTGCAGAACGAATACGCCCTGCTCTCTGAACACTAGGCTACCTCTTCCATAAGACCATGCAAGACAAAACTTGACAACACTCTGTTAGAGAGCAGAGAAAATGGCCTCACCTTCCAGCGGGACAGCAAGGTTAAATATACAGCTAGACCTAAAGTGGAACGGTTTGGTTCAAAGTGCTGCAGTGGCTCAGTCAAGGTTCAGGCGTAGATATGATGTAGAATTTCTTTGAAAAGTCACTGCGCAGCAGCTGTCTTATAAAATACTTTAGCTAACAGAGATTGACCCAAAATCCCTAATGCTGTTCTGTAAAATATGATCAATGCAAATGCAAATATCTTTTTATAGTAGAAAGAAATATGCATTAGTTTTAGTCAGTCTGTTACATTAATTTCTAATGATACAAATTAAAGGTTGTGGATGTTAATGTGTTTGAACTAAATGTGTTGAAATATAAGCAGGAGCTCTAGGTGGCTCAGAGTGGTTGCAACATCCGACTCATAACCAGTTTTTTCTCTCAACACATGCTGGCAACTTGACCCTACTTCCCTACTTTTAATGTTGAGATGAAGCAAGTGGCTTTGAAACCGTATGAATGTTCCCTCTTTTGAGGCGGTCCAACAAGGCTAACCATCCCTCCTGAAATATCTTTACAATGACTCCAGAGCCTGGCCGAGCTCCCACCAGGATTCGTCTCAAGAGCCTCTCTGCATCTGAGATCGAGGTGTCATGGAAAGCCCTGCCCTGGAACGCCAGCAAGCGGAGGGTGCTGGGCTACGAGGTGAGCCAGGGCTGTTTGTGTGAGCGTGCATATGGCAGCTGATGCTGCTGAATCTTGTTCTCTTCTATTATTGATGAGCGTTTCAGGCTCCTGCACCTTGGGCATACGAGATAATAGCTTGTTGCATACATAATGGCCGAGCCTATTCCCCAAGCCTGTGGGTTTAAGTGTGTTTCTCTTGTTGCTTACCTAAGTAGTGTAACGGGCCTGATTAGCGTACTGATGCAACACTCCAAGGGACAGAGCGTTTAGCTTCTAATCCACACAACAAAGCAGTTTTAGACAGCAGCTTTGTGCTCAGTTTGTTCATCTCACTTTAATTTGTCTCATTATTAGAATCAAGGAACTGAACAAAAAGGCTGGTTTCTTTCTTTGCTTTGGAAAAAAGAATGAACATCTCAAAAACAGATACATTTTGCTGAAGACAACCAGATTATGTTCATATTTTTTTAGGCCTTTTGGGCAAATTATCTATCAGATTATTAATTAGTTGTTTGACATTTATTTATTTTTTTACTTTTTTCCTTTGTTACTTTTAAACCTCATAATTAAAACCACAACACATTTCACATGGTGACGTGCTGCTGCTGCCATTTTTCAGACCACTTCACATCTTCCATCTAGTTGAGTTCACATGTCCCTGTTTTAGGTGTGCTTTTGGCTGTCAGGGTGGGAGCAGAAAGCTTTTAGAGCACCCTCACCGTCTGCCTATCTGCCTTGTTGCCTTGCAGCTGAGGTACTGGAGTAGAAGTGAGAGGGAGGAGACGGCCAGCATACTGAGGACCACAGGGAATCAGACATCCACCGTCATCAGTGGGTTGAGAGGCAGCACCGTCTATTATATCTCAGTGAGGGCCTACAACACAGCTGGAACAGGCCCTTCAAGCACCACAGTCAATGTGACCACCAAAAAACCACGCAAGTATCACACACGCAACGCTGGTTTGAAGTTGGCAATCGTTTATTGTCATTTGTGTCTGTTTTTTAATAAAACATACGGGTTGTTTATCATTTCTTTGCTGGCATAAACACCTTTGATAAAAAAGAGGGAAAAAAACACATAAATAAACTTGAGGTCCATACCAATTTATTATGTTAAAATATTACTATTTATACCCTTTTTTAATGATTTTCCAGGTGCTTTTCATATATTCTTGAAATTTTAACCTGGGGTGGTGCTGTCCAGTGCTGAAATGGCTGGCACCTTGTCTGCCCCTGCTGTGCAGTCACCCCATTTCCTATCCAGTGCTGAACCTGATTTAACCCTTAGTGTGGTACTGTCCAGTGTTGAAATGGCTGGCGCCTTGTCTGCCCCTGCTGTGCAGTAGAGACTGACACAGGAGTGGATTTTCACTCCTGTCCCGTCCCACTCCCACAGAAAAAAATGGTGTCCTGTCCCAATCCCGGGCCAGAGTAGAAATCTAAATCCTGTCCCGTCCCACTCCTGGTGAAATTACTCCCACTCCTATCCTGCTCCCATTCAGAATGACTCCCGCTCCTGCACCACTCCCATTCAGCTTGCGTTGCAAATCAAACTTTTCAAAGTCGAGTTCGCCACTAACTGTTGGTCCGTCCATCGTTATTTTTGAGCGCGGCTGAAAAACTCAGAGCAGAAGCACTGTTGGTTTTTGGGTCGTGTAGTTTTTTTGACTCGCATTATAGTGTAGGCTTCATAGAAAAAAAACTACAAAATAGCGGCGCCACTACTGGATTTTTTTTCTTTCTATTTTATTTTATTTTTTGGCATAGATCCTAGTTTTTTTTTTAGTTACTATTGGTTTGCTCCCGCTCCCGTCTGCTCTCGTTAATGTTTAATCCTGTACCGTCCCAATCACGTGATCATTACTAATACTGACTCCCAAAAATGTCAGTCTCTACTATGCAGTCACCACA